TCTTCCCTGGGGTAGGAAGTGGCTGAGAGGGAATTGGGAGCTGCTGATGGATTTACCCAGGTGAGGAATGAATTCTGGATGGAAAGACAAAAATCCAAGTCCAGCTGGGAACGATGGTGCATGCTTTGTAATCCCAGCACTTGGGAGGTTGAGGCAGGAGGATCCCCATGAGTCCGAGGCCAACCTGAACTACAAAGCAAAACCCTGCTCTCCTTTCCTCCCCCCAAAAAAGAAAAGAAAAATCCAAGTCCAAAAGGGAAACTGAGGCAGCATCTCTTCTGTCACCTGGATGGAGCCTACCCTGGGGGAGCAGAGGAGACTGGAGGCAGCGGGGTACCACAGGATGTCACCAGAAGAACTGGAGTCTTCCAGTTGCCTGCTGCCTGTCCTCATTTGAGGGCTGGATCTGCTGGGGGAGGAGACGGGTGACACAAAGCCCTTCCTCAGGGGGAAGTGCTGCTGTCATGCTGGAGAAACCTCTAGTCAAGCACGTACACAGCACACTCTGGTCTGTCGAGGACAGGGATCGGAGACAGATGAGGTTGCCTGCAATCTGGGCCCTGCAACTCAGGAGAGCCGTCAGCCTTGCAACCAAGGGAAAGGTGGAAAAAGTCAGGCTGCCAGTGAGTGTTCAGAGGGGCTGCGGGTCTGGAGGGTTGTGTGGGAGAGAGTGTTCTGTAGATGCTGCTGGAGCTGTGTGTTCTGCCATGGCCCATGTGTAATTATCCCAAAACAAGGTGCTGTCCTTGCCTTGGCCTCTCAAGACATCCTGCTTCTATTCTCTCTTTCTCATTCCCAGAAACTCTACCGACTTCTCCTGAGCACCAAGAACCAAACAAACAAAAAGCCACACTGAAATTTCTTAGCCAGCCATTTCAGGCTAAAGATTCTCTGATGACCCTTCCTTACATAACGGCTTCCAGCCTCAGTGCAATGGTTCATGCTACGATTTCTGCTTTCTCCATGTCTGATCTTCAATGACTAAAAACTTTTTCTAGCCCCAGCTCAGAAGCTGCCTCTTCTAGAAAGCCTCCTATGATTCCCCTGTTCAAATATCCTCTTCTCTGAATGCTGGAGCACTTTCTCTACCTCTTTCTGACAGTATTACATCCTATTCTTCATCTTAACTAGTGCAGGGGATGCCGTCTCCCCTACCAAGTGGTAAAGTCTTTGAAAGCTTATAAATTTGTCTTGTTTGTTTGTTTTTTAAGGTAAGTTTTGCTATGTGGTCCAGGCTGGCTTTGAACTCTTTTTTTTTTTTTTTTTTGGTACGGGGGATCAAACTTGGGACCTTGCGCTTGTGAGGCAGGTGCCAGAATCACTGAGCTAAATCCCCGGCCC